CAGGGGATTGGGTGCAGGAGACAGGAAATAAAATGACGAGGGGATGAGGGCAGCCAGACGCCCACGTCGCAATGAGAGGGTCGGGCTCCCATCAGTCCCGCCCCTGAGCGCTTGGCTAGTGTCGGCCGGTCTTCGGGAGCCAGGTTGGGGTTCACCTATTGACGTGTCGACGTTTGGGTCTTCGTGGTGAGATGGTAGGTTCAATAGGTAGGTCCCTATCATGCCCACACAGGTCGCTCGGACTGAGCAAAGCTCTTGTTGCAGGATTCGGCGCACTCCCGCCCCGGCCCGCGAAATCCGTGACGTCATTGGCCTTGCGGCAGTTGGACGAGGAAAACCCCACGAACGCGGCCCGTGCCAGGCGGAATGGCCATCGAGGAGGACCGACTTTGGCACCGCATGTAAACGTCTCGCCTTTACATGCGGCTCTCCTCCCCCCCTCGAGCTTAGCATCCGTTGGCGCAATCCGCAATGGCGCAGAAGTAAGCTCCTTCCAACTGCCCGTTGCACCTGCTACGCCCCAGCTCGTTCCACCGCCTGTTACTGCGTTTACTGGGAAGGCGGGCAAACGCATCCTGGTTGAGGTGTCGGACGGAGATGACACCAGATCCGGCGAGGTGGATAGGGTAACGACCCTGGTCATGCACAAGCGCGTCCGGAGGACCGCAGACGCCGGTGGTTTTGGTGTTGGCGTTGAGGAGGCCACAATGCGTGAAACCGCCATCCCCATACATGTGGAAGAGCTTGACGGGTGAGTACATTCATGTCTCAGTGCATGCGCTTCGTTCAGGCTGACGCCACGCAGTGCGATTGCAAGCCACGAACTAGCGCATGGGGCGCGGAGCACTCACGCTCATGGCACTGACGTCCACGACGACCTTGAGGCACTCAGCGATGGCAGTGACCTCACGGACTTGGATGAGCTGGAGGAGTGAGTACTGTAGCGTGGTAACTCTTCTGACGCTAACAGGGTGTAGGTGGATGAGTCTCCGCTCCGGGACGCCTGCCCCACAAGGTGATCCTGCTACTCGCAAGGCTCGGGCATGGAAAGGAGCCACTCCCCAGCACAGACTCAATACTATCGCCGCAAAAAGGGTCAGAGAGGCCCGTAAGTTGGCATCGAGCGTGTTGAGTAGTGAAAGAACACGTGAGTTCACGGTGGGCGTGCGCACACTGACCCCGCTGATGCCTTTTTGCCAGAAACATTTGCCCATTTCTCTTTGCAAGAGGCTGTAGACAACCCGAAGACGGTTGCTGAGGCGAAAAAGGAAGAACTACCCATAACCCATACGTTTGACGGGGAGGACGGACCTCGTCGCGCGGTGAGCGGAGATGGTTACGACCTCGTCTTTCATTTTCCAGGTGCTGTCAAACCCACCACCCTGGTGAGTGAGTAATGCCACCTCCTGGATAACTCACTTATATCCACGGAACAAAGGAGAACGTTACCAACGCAGCTACGCAGTTGTCTAAGGTTGCACCCCCCACCAAGAAGGTGAGCGGGCGAGAAGACCATGACTTCTGCCCCAAGGGTGGCATCGTTGGCATGACCCACATATGCCAGTATTGGCACGCCACAGGCCATAAGGTGAGTTCACATCTGCTGGGACCTGGGGTGCTTTCTCACTTTCCCTGCCAGCACCGACCGGGAGGGCCAGGCCTCCACATGCGCCGGACGGTGAATAGCTATCGCGGCACATTCCAGTTTTGGAGAGACACGACTGCTTTGGCATCTTTGTGTACAGCGCTCCTCGAGACGGTAGATCCTGTCCAGCACAATCTACTCAAACGTCTGAAGGAGGTTCGCCTGGGGTGCGACGACACCCCTGAGCAGAAGGCTTTTGAGAGTCCAACCCGTAACCTATTTTGGGAGAACCTCGAAGTCATCTTCAATCGCAAGTCGGCTGCTCACTTCGACCTCAGCGACCCGCACTTCGCCTGGGCGTGCATTGTTTACTTTGGCACGTTCGAACAGGCCTACCTGACATTCCCCCAACTAGGCCTACGTGTTCGTATTCGCCCTGGCGATGTCGTTTTCTTTCGTGGGAGGGATCTACTTCACCTGGTGGAGGACTGGGGGAAGGGGGATAGATATCTCATTGTCTACTTCACCCATGAAGCCGCTTGGGCTGATTTTGGGATGGGGGGCCAATGTGCGTCTGGTAAAGCCCAGTTCAGGGAGACCGCCACCCCTAACACGTCGTCTGGCCAATGAGGGGAGGGGGCCCTATAGCAAACCTGATACCAGTAATGTACATGCGATAACGTATCACAGCTGTAATACATCTTGAACTTGGTCCCACGTCCGAGTGTCCCTATGTGCCCTGGCCGCCCGAAGTCCCTGTGCTAGTCTCTCCTCTTGATCGTGCTGCTCCACCAGTTTCATAAGAGGTCTAATGGACTAGTACGCATGACGTACGCGACGTGTTAGAGAATTTCCATCACCATGGGACAAGGGTCTCACTTACCAGTGAATAGTTCAGGCGGTCGTCCGAAAGGTGGATCTGCTTCTGCATTACCTCAAACACGTCTTGCCTGGTCTCATCCTGGGCCATCGCAGCGTAGTGCTTGTCGTGAGCGGTCTGGACCAGTCTCCGGCACTCCTCGCTCATGATCTTGAACATGTCGCTCTTCTCTCTGGCGTATGCAGTGGCCCCAGGAGAAGCGTAGTCTGGCAACGCGCTGTCTCTCCTCAGCCACTCATCACTAGCGAATAAGAACCCTCTGCGGAGGGCTCGTGCCTCTGCGTAGACGAGGTTCACCTCCTCGTTGGTGCGGGCCAAGTTGGCGC